ACACCTAGCTCCAGCAGACAAGAGTCCTTTGTCCCACCCTGGTCATTCCACAGATATATAAACCCTTTTTCCTAGTTCCAACAGACCTCACTACCTCTGAGGATGCTTGCCATAGATGCAGGCAAAACGTCAGGAGAGAATGCCTCTAGACCATGGCCATATAGCCTGAAAAAACCTACAACAACCCAAAATAGACCTCTGCTGCAGTTTCAATAACTGTACTTGCCAACAAGACTTTACAAACTGCAATGAATACTTCCAGGAAACAGTTAACACCTCATCTGGAAGGAAGGCGGATTGGGTTTACAGCAGGCCGGCCACAGATCTTGGCTTTACTTATAATTGCCGTGGGATTAAGAGTTGATTCCTTCCCCTGTTGTTCTGGTTGTACCGGATCAGATGTTTGCGCGGATTTATACTGCGCTTGATATCTGACCCAAAGAAAACACATTTCCCCCATTCTCTGAGGAGCAGCTTCCCTGAAAAGTGGGTTGTTGTAGGTTTTTTCAAGACTGTATGGCCATGTCCTCGAAGCATTCTCTCCTGATGTTTCACCCGCATCTATGGCAGGCATCCTCAGAGGTTGTGAGACCTCACAACCTCTGAGGATGCTTGTTAAAGATGCAGGTGAAATGTCAGGAGAGAATGCTTCTAGAACATGGCCACAAGCACATACAACAACCCAATGATTCCGGCCATGAAAGCCTTCGACAATACATTCCCCCAAAAGCTCGGAAAGATGCTGAATGAATCAAAGCGGAAGGAGGGAGGAAACTGCAAAGAGGCCAAAATGCATACACAAAATGCCACGACAAGGACATGAATTCTGAAAGGTGCATAATTCATGCAAGTTTGCAATATTTACCCTTTTTTTTGCATAACATATGCGTGTCTTCTTCCTCTGCGTAATGCATGCAACTTCTGTTAAAACATTTCCTGAGGCTCTTTTCGCACTTGGCAATTCCACTAACTGTCATGGCGACATTCTTTGGATTCTTGGGACTTGTAGTTTGGTAGGGCACTAGAACTCCCTCACTGAGAAGAATATATATTATATACTAGCTGTGCCCACCACGCATTGCTGCGGTCAACCTTCCTTCCCTCTTTCTCTCCTTCTTTCTTTCTTTCTCTCCTTCCTTCCCTTTTTTCCTTTCCTCCTCTCCTTCCTTCCTTCTCTTCTTCTTCCACCTTTTTCTTTCTTCCTCTTTCTCCCTTTCTTCCTTCTCTATCTATTCGTTGGACTGCAACTCCCAGAAGTCCTCCTGGTTGATTTATCTACCTCCCTCCCTATCTTATCTCTCTATCTGGAGGATTACTGGGATTTGCAGTCCAGGAATAGGAAATTGGAAATACGGAGGGATGAGGATGCTCTCAACGAATTCCGAGAAGAAAGTTTGCATCTTGGAAGCACTGCATTTGGAATATCTTCCTCTCCTAAAGGGCCTGGTCTAGGGGATGCTGGGAGCTGTAGTCCAGAAGAGAGTGTGGATATGCTATTGTGTGTTTTCTTTGCCGGCGGAGTCGTTTTTGCGCATGCCCTGTAGCGTTTTTTTGCTTTTTTTTTTTACTTTTAAATCCCTTCTGTTGTGTTTTTCAGGGTTTTTATGAGTGATGGTCACTCATTGGCCTGAGAGGTGCATTGTGTCCAAATTTGGTGTCAATTCGTCCAGTGGTTATATGTGTGTGTGTGTGTGTGTATAAATATATATACATACATACTAGCCGTCCCCTGCCACGCGTTGCTGTGGCCCACATGGGGGTTCTGTGTGGGAGGTTTGGCCCAATTCTATCATTGGTGGGATTCAGAATTCTTTGTGATTGTAGGTGAACTATAAATCCCAGCAACTACAACTCCCAAATGTCAAGATTCTATTTTCCCCAAATTCCACCAGTGTTCTCATTTGGGCATATGGAGTCTTCATGTAGAGTTTGGTCCAGATCCATCACTGTTTGAGTCCACAGTGATCTCTGGATGTAGGTGAACTACAACTCCAAAACTCAAGGTCAATGCCAACCAACCCTTCCTGTATGTCCTGTTGGTCATGGGAGTTCTGTGAGCCAAGTTTGGTTCAATTCCATCATTGGTGGAGTTCAGAATGCTCTTTGATTGTAGGTGAACTATAAATCCCAGCAACTATAACTCCCAAATGTCAAGATTTTATTTTCCCCAAACTCCACCAGTGTTCACATTTGGGCATATTGAGTATTCGTGTAGAGTTTGGTCCAGATCCATCATTGTTTGAGTCCACAGTGATCTCTGGATGTACGTGAACTACAACTCCAAAACCAAAGGACACTGCCCACCAAACCCTTCCAGTATTTTCTGTTGGTCATGGGAGAACTGTGTGCCAAGTTTGGTTCAATTCCATCGTTGGTGGGTTCAGAATGCTCTTTGATTGTAGGTGAACTATAAATCCCAGCAACTACAACTCCCAAATGACAAAATCATTTTTTTTTGAGTGATGGTCACTCCTTGGGTTAGTAGGTGTCTTGTGGCCAAATTTTGGCAGCAATTCTTCCAGTGGTTTTTGAGTTATGTTAATCCCACACATAAATATTACATTTTTATTTATATAGATATAGATATAGATTTGCCTCTCCTTAAAAGGCCAACACCAGATTTTCAGAGGATGGAACCATGGCAGTCAAAGTGGAATCGAAGTGGGACAATTGTGCAGTGAGCAAAGTCCTATCAGCTAAACTCAGACAAAGTTTCCTGATACGAGGGGTGTTCGTGAAAGATTTCCCCTGACCCTCTTCTGTTTATCACAGGATGCTGAAACTGCACATGTGTAATGACATAAGTCTCTATAGGTGACGTGCCAATTGACAACTCAGAACTGAGAACAGTATTGAGGTGCGGAAGTGGAGTGAGGCTGGAGAATGGACCCAGGGGAAGACACAGAAGGAGACCAAGTTCCTTGACTTGGAACCAAAGGAGATGTTCGATGAGATGAAAGAGGTTTATGGTGATGATTCCCCATCTCATGATGCAGACAAGAACTGGCATCGTCACTCAAACAAGGGCTGGACTGTGGCGGAAACAGCGCCAAATATTCCATGTTCCAGAAGCATTCTCTCCTGACATTTCACCCACATTTATGGCAGGCACCCTCAGAGGTTGTGAGGACTGTTGTAAACTAGGCAAGTGGGGTTTATATGCTTGTGGAATGATGTCCAAGGTAGGAGAAAGAACTCTCGTCTGTTGGAGGCAAGTGTGAATTTTGTCATTGGCCAGTTTGATTAGCATTGAATGGCCTTGCAGCTTCAAATCCTGGCTGCTTCCTGCCCGGGGAGTCCTTTGTTGGGAGATATTAGCTGGTGCTCATTTTTTTTCCTGTTTACACAGATATATATATATAGAAAGAGAGAGAGTGAATTTTGTCATTGGCCAGTTTGATTATCATTGAATGGCCTTGCAGCTTCAAATCCTGGCTGCTTCCTGCCTGGGGAGTCCTTTGTTGGGAGATATTAGCTGGCCCTGATATTTTCCTGTTTATACAGATATATAGATATATAGATATATCGCTTCTTGGCCTTTTGGCTAAGATCAAGTGTATATATATATATATATATATATATACACATACCCACTTGCCTAGTTTCCAATATACCTCACAACCTCGGAGGATGCCTGCCATAGATGTGGGCGAAACGTCAGGAGAAAATGCTCCTGGGACATGGACAGACAGCCTGGAAAATTCACAGTAACCCAGTAAATCCGGCCATGAAAGCCTTCAACAACATATAGCCAAAACACATAATCAAAACATATAATCAAAACACACAATCATTTAAAAACACTTCATGGATTACACATATTAAAATGGAAAACTCACAGGAACCCAATACATAGTAAAGGTAAAGGTTTCCCTTTGACATTAAGTCTAGTCGTGTCCAACTCTGGGGGGTAGTGCTCATCTCTCTTTCTAAGCCGAAGAGCCGGCATTGACCATAGACACCTCCAAGGTCATGTGGCCAGCATGACTGCATGGAGCGCCGTTACCTTCCCACCGGAGCGGTACCTATTGATCTACTCACATTTGCATGTTTTTGAACGGCTAGGTTGGCAGAAGCTGGGGCTAACAGCAGGAGCTCAGCCTGCTCCCCAAACTTGAACTGCCGACCTTTCGGTCAGCAAGTTCCGCAGCTCAGCGGTTTCACTCGTTGCGCCACCTGGGGCTCCAACCCACAATATAAACAACAGTAAACAATCATTTAAAATAATTATTACATTATTACGCAGCCAAAAAGGAAGGGAAAATCCAACAGAGTTTTTGTATGAGACTCATAGATTTCCCTGAATGTTCTTAGGCAAGGAATACTCAAAAAGAAGCGGTGTGGCGGAGCCTTGACACTTTGGGTCTTCTGTGAGTGGCCTCCCATCCAAGTCCTAACCAGGACTGACCCTGCTTAGCTTTCAAGACCAGTAAAGTACTGAGACAGCATTGGCCAGCACACAGAGATACATCTCTAATCACAAAGTTCAAGTGGAAACATCAACCTCAAAGTCATCAGGCAAATCAAAACCAAAACAACAACAGCAAGGAATGAAGAAGTAAACCTAAAAAAGCAGAAAAATAAACACAAGGGAGGTGGAAACAACTTTGTGAAGGGAGTTGCTTGGAGGCAAGATGGAAAAGAATGGTATAGGAGAGAATCCAATGCTGCTCTAGGCAAGCAACCACTTCCAATGGACTCTTTATTATTATTGTAATTATTATATAATATTAATATTATACATAATTATTGTACTATAATCATTACAGCTTGCACCCAGCTCTTCTCCCAAAGTGTCTTACTCTACAAACAACTGCCCCCTTCCATCAATGCTCCAAAAGTAGGGACCACTTACACTTCAATATATACTGAAGTGTAAATATAGATATATATATATTTGGAAAGAGGCATGCAACATGCAACAGCCATTTCCAAACACTTTCCTGAGCAAAACTTGCACCTCTTTGGCCATCCTTGCAAAAGGAAAAAAAGGTACTTACCTCCAAGCCAGAGTTTCCCTGCTTTGGAGAAAGGGAAGGATGAATTGGGCCAGAAAGAAGGGAAGGAAGAGCAGGCGGGAGGGAGGGAGCGTTGCCTTGCTCTGCTTGCTCTGCTTGCTCTTCACCAACTCCGGCTTCCCAGGCTGGCCTTCCCCTTTTCTCGCCTCTGTTTTGGCCTCATTGGACTCAGCTGGGAAACAGCGGCCCCTGCAGGCCGGGACACGCACCTGCAGGGAGGAAGCCAGGGCTTGAGAGCAGGCTTGGCCAAACTTCAGCCCTCCAAGTGTTTTGGACTTCAACTCCCATCATTCCTAACAGCCTCAGGCCCCTTCCTTTTCCCCCTCAGCCGCTTCCTTTCCACTTTCCTTCCTTCCTTCCCCCTTTTTTTCCCTCCTTCTTTCTCTCCTTTCTTCCTTCTCTACCTCTTTCCTTCCTTCTCTCTTTCCTTCCATGCTTCCTTTTCCCGTTCCTTCTTTCTTTCCCTCCCTCCCTTTCCCTCCATTCCTTCTTTCTTCTTCTTTCTTCTTCTTTCTTTCTTTCTTTCTCTTCTTCTCTCCCTTCCCTCCCTCTTTCTCTACATCTTCCCCCTTCCTTTGCTCCCTCTTTCCTTCCTTCTTTCCCTTTTTTCCTTCTCTCCTTCCTTCCTTCTCTAACTTCACTTCCTTCCCCCTTTTTCTTTTCCTCCCTCTTTCTCTCCTTTATTCCTTCTCTACCTCTTTCCCTCCCTCTTTCTCTACATCTTCCCCCTTCCTTCGCTCCCTCTTTCCTTCCTTCTTTCCCTTCTCTCCTTCCTTCCTTCTCTAACTTTCCTTCCTTCCTTCCCCCTTTTCTTTCCTCCTCTTTTCTTCTCCTTTCTTCTTCTCTCTTTTCCTTCCTTCCTTCTTCTTTTCTCTCTTCCTTCTTTCCTTCTCCTTTCCTTCTCTCTTTTCTCTTTCCCTCTCTTCTTTCTTTCTTCTTTTTCTCTTTCCCTTCCCTCCCTCTTCTCTACATCTTCCCCCTTCCTTTGCTCCCTATTTCCTTCCTTCTTTCCCTTTTTTCCTTCTCTCCTTCCTTCCTTCTCTAACTTCACTTCCTTCCCCCTTTTTCTTTTCCTCCCTCTTTCTCTCCTTTATTCCTTCTCTACCTCTTTCCCTCCCTCTTTCTCTACATCTTCCCCCTTCCTTCGCTCCCTCTTTCCTTCCTTCTTTCCCTTCTTTCCTTCTCTTCTTCCTTCCTTCTCTTTCCTTCCTTCCCCCTTTTTCTTTCTCTTCTGCTGTCTCTCTTTTCTTCCTTCTCTTTCCTTCCCTCCCTCTTTCTCTACATCTTCCCCTTCCTTTGCTCCCTCTTTCCTTCCTTCTTTCCCTTTTTTCCTTCTCTCCTTCCTTCCTTCTCTAACTTTCCTTCCTTCCCCCTTTTTCTTTTCCTCCCTCTTTCTCTCCTTTCTTCCTTCTCTCTTTCCTTCCTTCCTTCTCTCTTTGTTTCCATGCTTCCTTCTCCCTTTCCTTCTCTCTTTCCCTCTTTCCCTCTTTCTTTCTGTCTCTCTTTTCTTCCTTCTCTCTTTCTCTACATCTTCCCTCCTTCCTTTGCTCCCTCTTTCCTTCCTTCTTTCCCTTTTTTTCCTTCTCTCCTTCCTTCCTTCTCTAACTTCACTTCCTTCCCCCTTTTTCTTTTCCTCCCTCTTTCTCTCCTTTATTCCTTCTCTACCTCTTTCCCTCCCTCTTTCTCTACATCTTCCCCCTTCCTTCGCTCCCTCTTTCCTTCCTTCTTTCCCTTTTTTCCTTCTCTCCTTCCTTCCTTCTCTAACTTTCCTTCCTTCCCCCTTTTCCTTTCCTCCCCCTTTCTCTCCTTCTCTCTTTTCCTTCCCTCCTCTTTCTCTACATCTTCCCTCTTCGCTCCCTCTTTCCTTCCTTCTTTCCCTTTTTTCCTTCTCTCCTTCCTCTCTCTAACTTTCCTTCCTTCCCCCTTTTCTTTCCCTCCCTCTTTCTCTCCTTTCTCTTTCTCTCTTTCTCCTTCCTTCTCTCTTTGCTTCCATGCTTCCCTCTCCCTTTCCTTCTCTTTTCTTTCTTTCTTTCTTTCTTTTCTTTCTTTCTTCTTTTTCTTTCTCTTTCTCCCTTCCCTCTTTCTTCCCTTTTTTCTGTATTGTCTTTTATCTTTCCATCATTTAGCTTTTTGGGGGCATTTTAAGTCCCTTCTGCTGTGTTTTTCAGTGTTTTTATGACTGAAGGACATACACTGGGTTGTTAGGTGTCTTGTGTCCAAATTTGGTGTCAATTCCCCCAGTGGTTTTGGAGTTTTGTTAATCCCACAAACGAACATTAGATATATATATATAGAGAGAGAGAGAGAGAGAGAGAGAGAGAGATACATAAACACACACACACATACAAACTAGCTGTCCCCTGCCACGTGTTGCTGTGGCGCAATCGGTGTATATGTGTTTTGTGTGTATATGTGATTTTGCGCATGCGTTGTAATGTATTTTGTTTTTTCGGCTTTTTAAGCCCCTTCAGCTGTGTTTTTCAGTGTTTTTGTGAGTGACGGTCACTCGATGGCCTGAGAGGGGTCTTGTGTCCAAATTTGGTGTCAATTCCCCCAGTGGTTTTTGAGTTCTGTTCATCCCACAAACGAACATTAGTTTTATTTATATAGATATTCTCTGTGCAGTGTGTGTGTGTGCGTGTGTGTGCGCATTTGTGCGTGTGTGTGCGCGCGCTTAAGCGGCTGAGGGGGGAAAGGAAGGGGCCTGAGGCTGTTAGGAATGATGGAAGTTGAAGTCCAAAACACTTGGAGGGCCTGGAGGACATTGGGTTGGACTGGATGTCCCTTGGGGTCTCTTCCAACTCTAGGATTCTAGCCATGTAAAAGATTTTGGGGTGTTACGTAATATCATTTAGTTGATTAGTAACACTATGTACACTACAGTATTAGAACCCCCCCACACACACACACACACATATACATACATATATACTCAAATGCGCGCGCACACGCACACACTGCACAGAGAATATCTATATAAATAAAACTGTAATGTTCATTTGTGGGATGAACAGAACTCAAAAACCACTGGGGGAATTGACACCAAATTTGGACACAAGACCCCTCTCAGGCCATCGAGTGACCGTCACTCACAAAAACACTGAAAAACACAGCTGAAGGGGCTTAAAAAGCCGAAAAAACAAAATACATTACAACGCATGCGCAAAATCACATATACACACAAAACACATATACACCGGTTGCGCCACAGCAACACGTGGCAGGGGACAGCTAGTTTGTATGTGTGTGTGTGTTTATGTATCTCTCTCTCTCTCTCTATATATATATATCTAATGTTCGTTTGTGGGATTAACAAAACTCCAAAACCACTGGGGGAATTGACACCAAATTTGGACACAAGACACCTAACAACCCAATGTATGTCCTTCACTCATAAAAACACTGAAAAACACAGCAGAAGGGACTTAAAAAGCCCCAAAAAGCTAAATGACAAAAAGCTAAATGACAATACAGAAAAAAGGGAAGAAAGAGGGAGGAAAGGGGAGAAAAGAAAGAAAGAAAGAAAGAAAGAAAGAAAGAAAGAAAGAAAAGAAAAGAAAAGAAAAGAAAAGAAAAGAAAAGAAAAGAAAAGAAAAGAAAGAGGGGAAGGAAGGAGAGAAGGAAGGAAGGAGAGAAGGAAAGAAAAAAGGGAAAGAAGGAAGGAAAGAGGGAGCAAAGGAAGGGGGAAGATGTAGAGAAAGAGGGAGGGAAAGAGGTAGAGAAGGAATAAAGGAGAGAAAGAGGGAGGAAAAGAAAAAGGGGGAAGGAAGGAAAGTTAGAGAAGGAAGGAAGGAGAGAAGGAAAAAAGGGAAAGAAGGAAGGAAAGAGGGAGCGAAGGAAGGGGGAAGATGTAGAGAAAGAGGGAGGGAAAGAGGTAGAGAAGGAATAAAGGAGAGAAAGAGGGAGGGAAAGAAAAAGGGGGAAGGAAGTGAAGTTAGAGAAGGAAGGAAGGAGAGAAGGAAAAAAAGGGAAAGAAGGAAGGAAAGAGGGAGCAAAGGAAGGGGGGAAGATGTAGAGAAAGAGGGAGGGAAGGAAAGAGAGAAGGAAGAAAAGAGAGACAGCAGAAGAGAAAGAGGAAGGGGGAAGGAAGGAAAGAGATAGAGTAGGAAGGAAGAAGAGGAGGAAAGACGGGAAGGAAGGAAGGAAAGAGGGAGTGAACGAAGGAAGGAAAGAAGGAGAGAATGAGGGAAGGTTGGCCACAGCAACGCGTGGCAGGTACAGCTAGTGTGTGTGTGTGTGTGTGTGTACTCTCTGTGCAATGTATAGTCAACTGAAAGGGAGGGAGCTCCTCAAAAGCACTTCCTCTGAGACTGAGAAAAACCAAAACAATATATATTTTTAAAAAAACAGAACAATACAGAGAGCAAAGTCAATTTGTTCATTTGCATGTGTGTTACTTAGGATAAATTGCAGCAAGAAATATAAAGAAGTATTTGCAAAGGGTTCAAGGCCCATGCCCTGCAATAAGGAAACGAGAAAGATCAGCCGATATTTTAGAATCTCGTTATACAAGATACTTGTTAAAAGAATTGGGTCCGGATGTTTTTTTCCCTGTTGACCTCTGTAATGTATGCCAATCCCGCTTCTTCAGGCTTAATGGATTTGGAAATGTGGGATCAAAAGCACATAATGAGATTTGCACTTGCATTTGTAATTCAAATATCGCCGGAAAAAGTGATTAAATTGAATGGCAAGGCGTCTCGCTTCTGGTTCCTTAACCCACCTTTTCTCAAGTGCAAAGATGCATGCGTTGGGATCATTCCACCCAATTGCAACTTGAATGAGTCGGGAGCATTCAGCTCATTCTGCTAAGGCAGGCATGGGCCAAATCTGGCCTTCCAGGTGTGTTGGACTTATCATAGAATCATAGAATCAAAGAGTTGGAAGAGACCTCATGGGCCATCCAGTCCAACCCCATTCTGCCAAGAAGCAGGAATATTGCATTCAAATCACCCCTGACAGATGGCCATCCAGCCTCTGCTTAAAAGCTTCCAAAGAAGGAGCCTCCACAACACTCCGGGGCAGAGAGTTCCACTGCTGAACAGCTCTCACAGTCAGGAAGTTCTTCCTCATGTTCAGATGGAATCTCCTCTCTTGTAGTTTGAAGCCATTGTTCCGCGT